TGGACCTGACTTCAGCTTTGGCACCTTCTGTGAAATCATCGGGCAGCATCCTCCTGTGGCCAGACATGTGCCTTGAGTTTAGCTCCACTGTTGAGGGAGGGGTATGCAAGGCTGAGGCTTTTGTGGCTGGTGGAGTCTGTGTGTCCTGGTCTCTTCAGTGGTTGTCTCCCCCTGGCTGCAACAGTCTGGTTTCTGGTCTGGATAAATGAATATAGCAGGCAAGCTGTCGTGGAAAGGATGCTGGGGAGAGTGGGGACTATGGAGGCCGAAATGCCCCTAAAATAGTGGAGGTGATGGCTGTAGGGAGGTTTTAGGAATCCTTTGTAGGTGTTTTGATTTTTATTTTTTCCAGATATAATTTTCGCAGTTTAAGAACTTTACACTACCTAGACCTTACTCTGTAGACCCGGTGACCTTAAATTCAAAGATTATGCCTCCTGGGTACAGGGATTAAAGGCATTTGCTGCAACTGCAACCCTGCCTTATTTAGTTTTTAAGGAAGGGAATCATATGTCCCTGGCTGTCCTAGAATTTATTCACAATATTACTAGTCATGTTGTGTAAAGATGAAGGGGATTTACTTCTGTTTCAGATGCTAAGTAGTTTTATCACTTCATTTTAGGGTCTATTTCCTAAGACTAATAATGAAGAGTAGCTTTAGCTGATTTTGGCTTCAGAACAATTGCCTTTTTAACTATGTTTCCCCTCTGAACACAGAGTGTCCCTGTGCAGCCAAACACTTGCTGTGTCACCCAGGCTGAGCTAGGAGATGTAATATTTCTGTCTCAGATTCTGGGGCATTAGAATTTACAGGCCTCTCCCACTGCATCCAACCCAGAAAGCACCCTTGAGACTGGGATCATTACTTTCTGTCAGTCAGATAAAAGACAAAAAGCAATTATCATGGCTATAGATCTGGGACCCAAAGTGCAATCCCAGCCTACTCAGGGTGCATAGATTCTGCCCAGAAACTGTCCTTAATTTCTGAAGATTGCTGGATCTAACTTGGACATTGGATGTGGGAGAGCAATGTTTTTTTTTTAATTGTGAGCAGTGTGAAACCCTTTAAAAGGAAAAGGAATTATCAGAGAAACGTGGGTAAACAGAACCATATCCTTGTTTAAGAAACATAGGCCTTGTAGGTCTTTGGGTGATCATTGTGGCCATTTTAAGCAGTACAGGACATTGTAAGGCAAATAGAATTTCGGGTTTAAGCCCAGCCTGATAATACCAGGATGGATACTAAATGTGCTTCATTTACAAAGGCCTGCAACTGGCTTAGAAACTATCAGAGAGTGTTTGAGGAAGTGCCCTTGTGAACCCACAACACGTGAAGTCAATAATGTACACATAGTCTCTTCTTTGACACAGGGTCTCCCTAGGTAGTCCTGGCTGTCTAGGAACTCACTGTGTACATCAAGTGGCCACAAACTCACAGATATCCACCTGCCTCTATCTCAAGACTGCTAAGATAAAAACATTTTAAAAGACTGCTTGACAAAACTGTATATATTTATGACATTTGAATTCACACTTTGAAATTTATATATTGCGAAATCGTGAAATAAGGCTAATTACACAATAACTTCATATAATATTTTTGGTGCCATATTTAAAAATTCTGTGTTCAATGTGTATAGAAATCTGATCCTCAAAAAGAATAACAGGAGCTTTTAGCTGCTGAGCCATCTCACTAGCCCAGTTGTTGGAATTCTCTTTATAAAGCCTGTTCAAATACCTAGCATAGCTTTCGGTATCTGTCAGTGTATCCTGTGGTTCCCAGAATAAAGTAGATTGTCAGGTTCCCCAGAGAGACAGTGATTACTAAAGTATTTACTTTGTAGGAAGGAGGTGCCCCCACTTTATCATCTTCAGAAAACAGTATACGAAGAGATATCCCTATTAGAATATTTGTGATTATTATTTATGATAGCAAAGTATTCATAACAACATTTGACATGGATGGATTGAGAAAATGAAGTTTGTGCTGATAGGTTTGGTAAATTAAGTTTATTATATGGGTGATAAAGTGCATGCCTATAAACCCAGCAGTCAAATACCTGGGCCAGGAAGATAAAGAGATTGGGGCTACCTTGGAATACACAATGAGTAAAGATAATTAATGGTTTCAAAAATTCTTTGTGTTGTTGTTACATGCCTCTAATCCCAACAATCAGAAGGCAGAGTAAAGCAGATCTTTGTAAGTACAAGGCCATCCGGGTGTACAGAACTAGTCTAGGAAAAAAAAAATGAAAAATTCTGATTCCTAGGATCTCTTAGGAGAATTGACTCACAGATGAGTATCCAGAATCTATGTTTTTTTATGATTTTAAAAACTGTGTTATGTATCCATAGGCAAAGATAAATTGAATGTCATCTCAACCAAGTTGTTATTCTTTATTGGTTTTACATTTGTAGCCGGAAGCATGGCCAGGAATCCTGAAAAACTGGGTATGGAGTCAGTTCAAGTTCTGTGCCCAGGAACAGATTTTATCCTCATCTAGGCATGCTGGGTGAATAATTTGCAGAGAACTACCCTGGAGAAGAAGGAGGATCTACCCTGAAGTGTCAATCCATTTGCAGCACTGAATGAGTCAAGGAAGTAGTCAGGGCCTGTAAGTGAGATGCTCCCCTCCTTACAGTGAACCTCTTCACATTGGTTCCTATGGCAGAGGGGCAGAGGGGCCCCCATGATCTTTGCTTAAGCAGCAGATTTCCAAAAATAAAAAGAAAGAAAAGGATCTGAATTGATCTCCAGTTCTAAATACATGCAGTTGAGTGTCCTGGGATTTTACATACGTGTCAATCCTCACATTGACTTTCACATGGCATCTTCATCAACTTATGCTTGGAAACTTGGATATTCACATGCTTAGAATGAACTTGACTCTGATGTTTTGCTGGAGCATTCTTTTAGATCCAGCACTCTTGAGACATAATCACATGCACAGTCCTAGTGAGAGGCAGAAACAGGCATATTGTTATGAGATCAAGGCTAGCCTGATACAACGTAGTTTGTTCAGAATATCAGTCAAGAAAATAAAAGCAGGTTAATAAATAAATGGATTCTTCATTCTATATTTGACTCCATAAAGTATCAATGCCAAATATGTCAAAGGTCAATGTGTAACAAACTATTAAAACGGTTATTTCCCAGTGTAGCACAGAGTTGAAGATTTAGAGACAAGTGTGAATGGAGGAAAACAACAGCTATTCCAGAAATCCTAGCTGTAGTGGGCAAATGGTCTCTCAGGGAAGTAAAGATTTCATTGCCAGCAAAAGAAGGAGTTACCTGAGTGTATTTTGTAAAGACCTGGTTGAAGTCTTTGCTATTGATACCTCAATTAGACAATTTAATATTGGGATTATTTACAATTAGGTAAAATATGTAAATCATGAGAATGAAACATACTTATTAAAGCAACAAGAAAAATACATTACCTCACAGATTTAATGACAAAGGAGAATGGGTTCAGGAGGCATCAGGGAAATACATGGTGAACCTGCAATAGCTGCTAGCCTAGGCCAACTAGAAATAAAATGGGAAAGAGCGATGAGGGAGTTTTCAGAAGGAAATGCTATACTACAACTCTGCTGGGGGGGGTATGGTATGGTTTGCAGCTTGGTTGGATATGAGTATGGAGGGTTTTCCAAATGCCAAAACCTTCCCTACCACATGGTTCATATACACCTTGCCAAAGAATTCACTGTATTTATTAAGCAGGTACTTCATTATTTTCAGGTTCTAGTCCACCTCGACCCACGAATAACTAGGCCACGCTGGTCAGGACAGCCCATCAGTGTTGATGGCATCACTGTGTTCAAAACATTAGGGAACCAAGCATGGTGTCCGATAACATTGTCATGGATGAAGTACACGAGATGTACCTAGAATGTGAAGTCTTTTCAGCCTTATTTAAAAAGTTCTGTTGTTTATAGTATGCAGTTCCAACTGGGGCTCAATGAGATGGCTTAGCAGATTAGGACACTTGATCTTCTTGCAGTGCCCAGGTTGAATTTAGAGTGCCTCATGGTGACTTTCAATCTCAGTGAAATCTAGATTCCAGAGATCTGGTGTGCTCTTCTGTCATGCTTGGGCACCCCACAAAGGAAATCATGTGGATGACACACACACATAAAATAAATTAAAACATTCAATTGATGCTTTCTAAACTGGATATAATGTGAGATAAACATTGTAATCAACTTGAACCCATGTCAAAAAAGATAGTCACCCATGGGTATGTTAACTTCACAACGGGTGCTAGACTGTGTATACCTGGAATCCTGTATCTAACTTCTTGCAATTAAAGGAAGAGCTCAGTCTCAGATTACTAATGACTAAACGGCAATGGTGAGAAGTTCAAAGTGGGAGGAAGTGTGAAACAAGCAGGAGTGTGACCACTATACAGTATAAACTCTGAGAAGCATACCATGTTCTGTAACTAGTATAATGAAACTAAAATACAAGGAGAATAATTTTATCACCATTATAGATTTGGCTAATTGCTTTGTCATTAAATAATCACCTGAAGTGATTAAACTCATAGGATATATGTAACATCTATTCTTACTTTGGCAGTATAGACTAATAATAGTCCAGTTACTAGGAAATCCTCCAAACATTCTAAATATTATCTTGGATGAAATAACTGACTTAAGTTTCTATGGTCCATATTAATGTCTTCAAGCATTTACAAGCATAGAAAGTACCTGTCAATTTATATATAAATGCAGCCATGTGGACATTAATCTACATACCTACATATGTATCTAAGGTTGTACACATTCACTTAAGTCTTTAAACTGTAGACATACCTGTGTGTCTGTATGTATATTTCACAGTGTTTATGATGAATAGCACCGTGTTCAACAGCTTGTTGCAAAGGCACTTACATCACATAGCCATAATATCTATCAATTTCCATATCCTTCTCCCTGCGAAGGAAAATTTGCAGTTTATCCTGACAGGTGCCCTTGGCAGCATTCTGACGCTCCTGTCAAGCCCAACTCTTCATGGCCTCAGTCTTTGGCCTGAGCTCTGCTGTGATGGGCTGTGAGATGTCTGGCCAGGGAATATCCACTTTCCTCCATGGAATTGGTTGGTGGCTGAAGTCTTGCAGCAGATATTGTGTTTGAGGTTTGGGAGGTGATGGGGCCTTGTTTCTGGCAGTAGAAACAAGCTCTGTTGGGAGTGAACTATGAGATGATGCTCGGTAGGGGGCAGGCCCAGTGACAGCAGGCCAAGGCCTACTGCAAGAATAGGTATGGTTGGTTATTTTAGGTGGTGTGACACTGGTGGCAGTCAGCACAGCTGTCTTGTTGGAGGCCATCAAATATGTGCTGGAATGAGCTGGTGGGAATGGCTTAAGTGTGGTAGATTGCTCCAAGTGGGAACTGGGCCTCACAGGGTAAGCTGCAGAGGGCCTGCCAGAAGCCAGAGAAAGAAGCTTTCTAGAAAGAGGTCTGGCTTCAGGTTTGTCCATGTTTTGGAAAGGCAGAGGTACTATCTTGACCTTCCCAGGAGGGTGCACCTTATACAGGGAGGGAGATGTACACTCCTTGTGGGCACTGCTATCTGGTTTCTGAGCATTACCCAGGGTTGGAGCAGGCCCTCAACGATCATATGGCTCATCCAGCCGTGATGTGGTGGCCCAGCCTGTACTGGGATCTTTGTTGCTGCTGGAGTTTAGTATAGCCTGGGAGGAGGAGATGCCAATTTTCTTCTCACTCTTCTTTCCCAGTGGCTGAAATACCTGCACAGCCTCCAGCATGTGCATGCTGAGGTGAGTCCGAGGCTTTTAGAAGCAGTCCTGGCTGAGCCCACTTGGATGCCTCTTCCTCCTCGTCTTGGGGATACTGAGATTGTCTTCTACCTTGGCTCTGGGACAAGATGGCTTCAGCTCCCCAGTTTTCTTGGTTTTGTTTCCTCTGGTACTCTTGATCTTGTCTTGGCCCTGTGCCCTAGATGTGCTGGCCCTGCTGTGTGCAGATTTGTGAGCTGTGCCATCCAAGTGCTTGGCCAAGTGATCAATATCTATTGCACTGGCTGTAGCAATGCCCACACCCTCTTCTCCCTCTAACAGGACCTGGCACTGGATTCTGGCCTGGGGAGATCCATGAAGGTGATCAGAGGCTTTCTGCTCTTTCTTGTGCTCCCCTTTGTCTGTGCTGCTGCCGGTGGAATTTTCCTGGAACTGATCCCTGCTGAAGACTCTGAAGTCTTGTGATTGTGTTGCTGTGGGATGTTCCAATTGGACTAGGTCAGTGAGGGGGTTTAAGAGTTGGGGAAGGGGAATATCTGACACAAGTGTAGTCATGCCTTCAAGATCAATGCTGGACTCCATGACTCTATGCAGAGCCACTGGCTCTTCCAGAGCAAGGCTAGTACTTCCCAAATTGGAGTTATCAGAACGTGCCTTCTGCCTTAGGTTCCCATTATCAGTGTAGTTCTGGGGCTGCTCTAAACCAGGATGTGCTAAAGGGAAGTGCTGTGTATCTTGTTTTTCTGTTATGCACTCATAGGCCTTCATGGGTATTGATGGCTCAGCAGTCATCTCATCCATACTGTTATTCTCTTTTTGTTCCAGGCTTGGAGCTGGAGGCAATGTCAGGAACTGTGAAGTACTGTGTATGCAGGCAGTTAAAGAGACAGGTGGTGTCTTCATATGGACATTCTGTGTGCAGGCCTTGCAGATGTCTGGACTCTGAGGCAGACAGAGTGCCTGGCCTAAAGGTGTCAATCCTAGGGTTGTCTCCATTTCCAACACTGAAAAGGAGTGAAGGAAGAAGTCAGAGCCTGGTGAGTGAGATGCTCCACTCCCTTCGGAAAACCTCAGCACTAATGCCCAACAGTATTGGGGCAGTCCTTTCTATGAACTCTGCTTGAGTGTCAAGTGCATCAACTCCCTTTGGAGACACATAGTGTGGCAGAGTTTTGTCCGGTGACCACATGATATCAAGTTTTCTCAGATGTTTGTGTATTCCTTTTGTCTATGTGGTATGTACATGTATAATGGTCCCTGGGTAGTTACAGAATTCCCTTGGTGTGTGCTCCTCCCTAGCCCTCCCCTTTGCCTCTAAAAAGTACCTCTCATTTCTGTGGAAGTTTACTATTAGGCCGTTTGAGTATAGGTTCCAAAACTTACATATGTCTTTCTTTTAACTCCTTTAGGGTTTATGTCATTACTTATGTACTCCGAATAGATCGGATTTTATTTCATGTGAGGTACACCACACAAAATCCTCATCCTGACAGAGCAACAATTCCAGAACTCTGATTTTTCTCCATGTCAATGTTTCAGAGTCTTCTTATAAGTGACATGAATATTAGTTTGAAGACTCCCCATGGAATGCCTACTCCCCCTAGGGTTGGTGGGGGGAACAAAGGAGGATGGGAAGGGGCTAGAAATGGTATTGATATGTACAACATGCTTGTTATACACTTAAAACATATATATATATATATATATATGCATATGCATATGTACATATATAAAATTAGATTAAGGGGATGAATGCTTTTGGCTGGCAGGTGACTCTCTCAATATTGAGAGTGAAGATGGGTATGGTGAGCCCTAGGCAAGGCTATCCTCTGTTTGGGCATCCGCTACTGAAAGGGAGAGCGGGGTCTCCTTTGAGTGCAGATCTCACTCCTTGCCCTCCTGGCTTTACTCACCTTGAAGACTGGGGTCTGTTCTGGCTTGAACAGAACTGGGATAGTAGATGGCAGAGGTAGAGAAAGGTGTTTGGATGTTCGTTGGCTGAATCTCCTTGAACACCCTCATCATCTCTGGATGCAGGGCAGAGGCCTGACTCCCAGAGTAGGAAACAGAGCCATAGGATTCCAGGCATTGCTGGATTTCTCCATCCAACCATGGTTCTTGTCGGCTTTGGTCATAGCAATAGTCCTGGTTGCCCTCCTGGTAGGATGGTGCCAGGTAGTTTCCTTCATTTGGTACCTGTGTCTGCAATGCCTGGAGAAAAGTGGCAGACACTGTTGGACGGGAAGAGACCAAGGCATGGAGATGTAACATATGATCACACTGGGCTGTCATAGACAGGGAGGAGAGTGTGGTATTCTGGTGAATGATAGTTTCAGTGAAGACCTTCCTGATAGTGCTTCCTATGAGATCACTCTGGAGAGCCTCTGGATAGAAGAGTGCCAAAGTAGAGATCTGGCTCTAGTCAGTCAGTGCAGTCAGTATGGTGGTGCCAGCTCTTTGGTAAAAGTAGGCACTGTCCATGAGCTGCTGGCAACAAGTGCTAGAGTCTGATGGCTGGAGCCATGCTGAACTCACAGCTGGGGTGGAAACCCTGGAGAAGTTGCACACGCTTCCTGCTGAGGGTGTGGCATTCCTCAGCACAGGCACAGATGGCCGCAGAGCACATTCTGTTCCAAAGAAAGGCCTGCTTAGCAAATTTTCTGTAGAAACAAGAGGACAGTGGATAGGTAACTGGTGAGATGGAAACTATGTAGCTTCACCTGAAGAGCTGTGTTATCTTCAGTTTGTCCTGTCTGGGAGAATCTATGACATGTCCCCTCACTTATACCAAACAATAATGTTCAGAATGAACCTGGGGCCTGGATAGGATGACACTCATTAGTTTCACTGCCTATCATTGCTGTGTGGATATGCAATTCCTCGAAGCCTCATTTTAACCCTTGCTCTGATCTAGACATCATCTTTTTCTGCCCTGCTATACTACTGTGACACTCCCTCATATCTGCATCCTAGATCATATGCGTTTACAGATAGGAGAACCTCAGCCAACATGCTATTACTCTACTTTATCCCTGTTCTGTTGCAGATCTCACTCTGCTTAGTGAGCTGGACAGCAGACTGGCCTTGAGTTCCAAAGATTAGCCTGCCTTTGCCTCCAGAGCATTTGTGTTACAGGTACTGCCATATCCATGAGGTTTACTTCTACTCTGAGCTCATGATGTATCTCTAATTTTATAAAGAACTACTGTAGTTGGCCAATAATCTCTCTGTCTAGGTATTCCTGTTTATCTGTGAACCCTTCACAGATATGCTCCATTAAGCTCTACTTATTTTTACAACCATTAATCACATATGCATATAACACTTCATGATATCTCTGATAAAGTGTATTGTAGTTTGCACCTGTTTCGTTTGGTCTCTTGAGATTGCTAATGTATTAAGGGGTTTCATCTCTGAATATAATTTTCTCAGTTTCACTGTTGGTTAAGTTGGCTCCTTATCAGTTCTTTGGGAAGTGGTAATTCTTATAACTCTCCCAGTGAAGAATATTGGTGGGATTGCCATGCACTTTTGCATGTCATTTGTCATTGTGTAGTGAACAACTCCCTGTGGAGTGCCCACCAGCAGCTCATAATATCCTACATGAAGAGTTACATATCACAAGAAGAATGTGCAGAAGATGGTGTGCATGCAGTATATAATCCAGGGACTACAGGTGGATTGTTTCCTATATGTGACTGGGAACCTATATCCAGAATACTCTTAAAGTGTGGTTGTCCAAATATGGTTTGGGAAATGGCAATGCCTTGTACCTTTTGATTTAAGTCTGGGGTTGTCTGCAACCTCCTCTTACAACCTAACTTTGTGACCTACAGCGTCTTCTATGATTTCTATGATTTCTAACCTTTTATACTTTGTTTTCTCCTTTCTCCCACTTCTTATGGGTCTGCCTTCCATGGAAGGGCCTCAATATTTCTTTGACTACAATGCCTGCCTTCTCAGACACCACAGCCCAGATAGCCTCTCCCACTTTCCTTTAGTAAATCCAGAGAAGTCCATAACTCAAAATATGACAGTCATTCCCCTTGCATATTTTTACTATTTGGTGAGTGTGAACACAGGCTCATACAGAACATGATAGAGAGAAGTGACCTTCATCCAGTCAAGCTCTACATGCTGAGATTGCAGATGTGTGCCAGGCTACCTGCTGTGAGAATTACATTTAAACAGTTGGAACAACAGGGGGAAACAGTAGTGGAGGGAGCCTGTCTAATTCATAGTATGTGCTGCTAGATCTCTGCCCACCTTCATCTTATATCTCTTGTGCCATGTACCATCAAGAAGGCCCTGCCTTAATTCCCTGTTCACTTGCCTCAAATCATGGTGACATTGTTTTCTTCCAGAGAAGGAATCACAACTCTTGAGAGTAAACTGTCTCTGTAAACTCACATGCCAAGTATGAATCTAAGTTAAATGTGACATTCACATAGAAGTTTCTATGTCAGCATTTATAAATTCCCCTTTAATGGAACATTTAATAATTTAATAATATTAAAATAATGTTAGTAATGATCAAAAGAAATGTTATAAAGTGTCTTTCCTTACCTGACATGGTCAGTGGGAGAGTATCATCAACCCACAGTACAATGGATCAAGATAATTGGTAGTCCATGTCTTATAAACAGATCCCAGTGGTAAATGTGTCCAGTATGAGACAGCGCTCACTGGTCACTGGGCACAGGTGACCTGTTAGATCTAAACTTGTTTACAGGCATCACCATGGAAACACCAAGATTCTACCAGGCATCATCCAATGGGAAGTTGCCATTCCAAGCTAAAGGATGGGATTGGTTGGAGAAGATGCCAGGAGACCAACAGTACCTATGGAGTGTGTAGTGTATGCTAAGTGAAAGGAGGTATTATGGCTTGGAATTCCCTCGTCTCATGATTTTCCAATGAGTTATCCTGACAGTGCTTTTATAATGTTATCTGATGAAGCTGTACATAGTGTGGATGTGATGTCCCCCATCACCATACACTGTAACTATACACTGTAACTTCTTTCCCAAGAAGTAAGGACCACACAGGTTGAGGGGTCTCAGTTGAGAATCCCTTTCAGTTGGTTCAGGTTATGAGCTGTCAGCATGTGTCCATGACACAAGGAAGAGATCACAGTGCTCTTTGCTGTCTACTGAGTTCATTGAGTGAACCTGAGATATTAGATTCAAAGATTTATTCTTTGGCCTACATCTCCTACATGTTCTCCTTTCTCTTTGCTACCACAGGCTGAACTCAAACTTCCCTTCTCTGCTTTCCATCCCCTGTTGGTAGAGTCTCATTCTTAACCATCTAGACCCAGCCTGCATCACTTGTGTGTGATATCACTGTGAACTTTCAGAAGTAGTGGTCTCATGTTTCTTGTGGATATGCTTGTAATTGGATGCTTCTGGTAGAATACACAGATGAAGGGCTGATAGTGAGTCTGCTGCATATTTTCCCTCTCTCAAACTCTTGTTGCTCTTCTACCTCACAGATATAGCTACCTCTGGATTTTTTTCTCTGCCTCATCTTTTGTTTTCATGTTATAGGCTTGTCTCTTTAGCTGTTGTTCTGGACGTCAGTGTATATCAGCTGCGTGGATTTTTTCCTTTCTTCTCTTATAGTATCAAAGTTGTGAGCTAGTGAATTTGGCTGCCTTCTCAGTTCATCCACAGTACTATGAGTGTGAGAGTTAGAGAAGCCTCTTCCTCCTTGCAGCTTCCACTGGAGTATCCCAGGCTTCTAGCATCCTCTTCCATGCTTGGGTCTGAGACCAGGATAATCACAGAGTGAAACACCTAGAGAAAGAACGCCTTTGTGGGTGCTGAGTGCTGGGTTCCATGAAAGGAGTGTAATAGATGTTTTGCCTCATATAAGAAAAAGCAATGACCCATTTCCCATCTCAATGCATCTTCACAGATAGGAAAGCCTTTCGTGTTTTGTTGAAATATGTGGCAATCTTGTGTCTTTCCTCACTTTGTTTTGTGTTGTATCACCCCTTTCTGTCACTCCCTATTAGGATTATCTATTGTATTATTGTAGGGCTGGGCATTTATAGCCATTCCTCATTTTAATGCCACAGTAAGCCATAGCTAATGTGCCAATATCTAACAGTCCTTTTTGAAACTACCGAGGAGCCTATTTATCATTCAAAAGAGGTGTCAGAGCTTTCACTCTGGACCTCTTTCACACTGAGCTAGTGCTGTGGCATGCAGCTACATATCCAGCTCAGTAGTACTGTTCCTCCATGCACATAATGTAACATTTTGTAGTGCTGGATAAAACACTGCCATTGGAATGTCCTTTTCCATAGGAGAGCAGAAAGCCTGTCTTTCACCTTGCCTGATTCCCTCATACCTCACCACGTTTCAGATACTGTGACACATCCCTGGTGGCAATGTCTGAAAGTAGGATGGTTCAGGCAGGCTCCTGGTTGTAGACATTTCAGAAGGAACACGGTCCTACTGCTGTTCTGTACGTGTAGGTACCTGGGAGCAGAACATAACTGGAACTGTTATAGAACAGGCTGAGGACAGACAGAAAAGTAGAGATGGGAGTTACAAGCACGTTTTACTGCCATCCTGGTCCCACAGCTGTGCTAGCCCCAAATAACACACAGAGACACTGTATTTGATATAAGGCTGTTAGCCTGTTACTAGCATTTTTATTGGCTAGCTCTGTCTTAAATATTAACCCATTTATATTAATATAAATATTTCCATGTGGTCTTATCTTACAGGAGAAAGGGCCCAGCATACTTCTCTCTGATCTACATCTTGAAACTCCTTCCTACTACTTCCTCTCTCCTCCTTGTCTCCTAGTCCCGCCTATCTTGCTTTCCTATTGGCCAACAGTGCTTTATTCATTAAACAATAACAGAAATATATTCACAGAATGGCAACTCCCATCATCTCTTCCTTTCTGTCTAAATAAAAAGAAGAAGTTTAACTTTAATATAGTAAAATATATAACAAAACAGTTATCAAATAAGATCCACATTGAACAATATTTAGTTCAATAACATGTAGCAAGATATAAAGAAAACATTCCATCTTCTCTCCTATCTTTGTGAGTCTAAAGTCCTGTATTATACTCATATTTAATGCTAACTATGGAAAACTATAACCATAACTATCTGTCTTAAACTCCATCAAAGACCACAGAAGGATAACATATAAACTCTGGAAATGACAGAAACATCTCGCTACTTGGTCAGGCACCTGAAGTTCTTCTGTAATGTACCCAATTCAGCCCATAGGCCATAGTGTGTGACAGACTTCTCAGCAAAGCATGAAATTTCAACATATCCCACCTAGGTTGGCAGTTTGTCAGTTACTTTTTTCTGTGTCCTGCAGAATGTCTGGCAGACACTTCCATGAGGTAGGAACCATGTAGCAATGTCCATTTTGTATCAGCAGTAACTTTTCTGTGTGTCCTGCATGTCCTGTTTATACAGCATAAAGTCAAACAGTCCAGAAAAGAGTAGTATGTTGCTCAAATGGCTAGTCTTGCCATATTGTAAGCAATCTCCATGATGAGTTTCTTCGATGTCTATCTTCCTTTCTAACAGGTGGTGTTGCAAGGAGCAGTTGTGCCTCAATGTTAAGAAAAACTCTAAACCATTTTGAATGCCATATTCTGTAGGTCTTTGAAACCTTTGAAGAATGTCTGTCTAGTTGAAATATATATCTCTATATATCTATAAAACCTAATTCTATAAATTTTTGACTATTATAACTAACTATCTATAATCTGTACTAAATTATACATTATATATCTAAATGAACTATATAATCACAATAACTAAACCAGAGGATAAGTATACATATCACAGAAGATCGGTAGATGGATGGATGGATGGATGGATGGATGGGTGTATGGATGAATGGATGAAAGGATGGATAGTTTGACAGGTGCATAGGAGATTGGATGGAAGGATGAATGGATAGATAGGTGGGTAGATGGATAGATCTATCAATAGAACTGTGTTCTGAATTTTTATAATTTGTGTTTAAATTTGAAACAATATTGTTTTACATGTCAATCTCAGTTCCCTCATCATCCCATCCTCCCCTGCCCCCCCAACCCCCATCCCATCCCCTTTTTGCTCCCCAGATAGGATGAGGCCTTCCATGGGGGGATCATCAAAGTCTGTCATATCCTTTAGAGCAGGACCTAGGCCTTACCATATGTTTCTAGGCTGAGAGAGTATCCCTCTATTTGGATTGGGCTTCCAAAGTCCATTGTGTACTAGGAATAAATACAGACCCACTACCAGAGGTCCCATAGCCTGCCCAGTCCTCCTAAATGACAACCCACATTCAGGGGTTCCAGGATGGTCCTATGCTGGTTTGCCAGCTATCAGACTGAGGTTCATAAGCTCCCCCTTTTTCAATTCAACAGTTTCTGCAGATTTCTTTAGTCTGGTCTTGACCCCTTTGCTCACCACTGCTCCTTCTCTGCAACTGGATTCCAGTAGGTCATCTCAGTGTTTAGCTGTGGGTGTGTGCTTCTGTTTCCATCAGTTACTGAAAGAAGGCTCTAAGATAGTATATAAGGTAGTCATCAATATCATTATTGGGGAAGGGCATTTAATTTAGCCTCTCAGCTATTGCTTAGATTGCTATTTGGGGTCATCCTTGTAGATATCTGGACATTTCTCTATTGCCATATTTCTCTTTAAATCTATACTGTCTCCCTCTATTATGATATCTCTTTTCTTGCTCTCCTCTATTCTTTACCTGAATCAATCTTCTTGCCCCTCATGTGTACCTTTCCTGTCCCTTGCTCCTAATTCTCTCTCCCCTCCCCACATTCTCCCAATTTGCTATTTATAATTCCCATCATTTTTGTGTTTTATTAAAATTAAAATTTGCTTATTGTTTGCCCATATTTGAAGGAACCTATTTATTCTAACTACCTTTACTGATTTTATTTTCCCTACCCTCTATTCTTTCTAATTTCTCACTTAATCACTTCCTGTTGCTGTTTTTAAAAGTACACACTTTTTAAGAGCTAACAATGAAATATGACAAAATTATGTATTGTTTGATGAAGAAACACTTATTACAACTATATTGAAGATGATCATCAAATTGAAAGAAAAATGTCCCAGTGACTGGCATAAGAGTCAGAGACTGACATGGTCCTAGAAGATTTCAATACAAATATAACATTTTGTTTATTGCTTTAATATGAAATGTATATTCTGAGCTGTGTTTAATAATCAATATTTCTACAAGTCACTTAGTTTGACAACACAAAGATTAAGACAATAATATCCATGTAAGAAAATATCCATCCAAACCTTTTTATATCACTCCTGAGGTGAAAAGTGAAGCTCAGGTACCTCAGGGCAGTTCCCAAATCTGTAGCAAAAGCAGCACACGCAGAGAGATAAAACCAGAGACCTCCTCATACTATTGATTTTCATCTTTCTCTTGTACTCAAAGTTGTCCCTGTGAGGCTCAATGGATATAGATGGTGGAATCTTTTCATGGTGGGCTTGCTAACATTTTCTAGATGTGTGGCACTAGACTGCAAATAACCCCTGTGAGAATATGCTATAGTTGG